TCCCTCCCGCCCACTTGTCCCTGCCGTTTGTGTTGCATAGGTTAATCAGGAGCATCATGTCTGGATTTTATTAATAGAGCCTAACAGGAGCCATGGTTTGAAGAGGGACATGTACATCAGGGGTGCTCAACCCCCACCCCATGGGCTACATCCTTTCCCTGGAACTGTGTCATCTGGCCTGCCAAACATCCCACGAGTCGAAAAATTTGGTGGTAGAGGAGTGAGGGCAGCATAATTGCCATGCCTTTGCTACAAAGTTCCAGACCTGGGGGAGATGGGCCAGATAACATGGCTCAGGTGCACAGATCTGGGGTGGCATGGGTCAGGCTGAGGCAGCGGTGAGCCCAATCCCACAAGAGATCCGGCCTGTAGATCAGTCTCATGCCTCTCATCTGGCCCATGGGGCCAAAAAGTTGAGCACCACTGGTATAGACAATAAGCTGTTGGCTTTTTTCACTTTGAATGAGCCTGGAGTCTTCCCCTCTCCACTTTCTGCAGTAGGTCACAAGGGAGAGAAGTTTCTCTCCAGGGAGGTTCAAGAGCAGACTGGCCACAGCCTGGGGAAATGGGTATAGAAATTTCACATAAACTTCATGGAGCCAAATTAAAGCAACATTGAAGTGGAATAGCTTCATGCTCCAAGTATGGAGGGCCCATGCACAGTGCAGCAGAGTGGAAATGCTGTGAGGGAAAGTACTGGGTTAATGCTTCAGTGTAGGGCTTCAGCAGAGCACTGTGCTGTGCACCAGTCATGGTATGTAGATGCTGCTTTGCAAGATTGTCTATCACTGATCTGCAAAGTTTCAAACCTAGACACTGTCCACCCTTTCCAATGTGCTCCCTGGACAAGGGAAATGGGTCTTGTGGGGCATCTGCTGCACACATCTGTGCATGTGGAAGCCCCTCTGGAGCAGAACTTCCTGAACCCAAATCTTTCTAGCCTTGTGCTCCACTTATGTACACAAGTCTCACTGACTTCACTGAGATCCTGCAACAGGAGGTCTGATATCTCAAGAGGAGTGGTGGGCCAGGGACAGAGACCTGGTGTAAGCTATTACTGCTGAAGTTCGCAGACTTGGCACCAGCTTTGAATCAGTTTCATGCGTGAGTGACTGGTGCCACCTTAGTCATTCAGTGACCAGAGGGTGTGGTGGTCCTTCTGCAGCCAATCTTGCCAACTGGGGCAGGGGTCTCCCCTCAGCCGATTGCAAAGGGGCTGCAGTGCTCCCGGAAGTGGCCGCACCGCTTCTAGAATGGCTGCGGCCGCTTCTGGGAGTGCCACAGTGCTCCCACTCCATGGCTGGCACTCGCGGGGGGGCACTGGCCCTCCTGCCTGCCCCCCCCTGCCCATCACCTAAGTGGTGAGCGCGGCCTGTCAGGGGGTGCACCGGTGCTTTCAGGGGGTGCATGTGCATCCCCATGCGCCCCCTACACGTCACCACTGGTTTCATGGGCTAGAATCCATGATTCAGAAGAGCTGTGGCTCCACACCATATTAGTGCCAAGCTCCTCTGAGCTTTTCTTCACGACCCTCCAATGTCCTGGAACTTCCTGCGTACCTTAGCATGCAGGGAGCGTTCTCCCTAGATTTCCTATTTCTTTGTGTGTCAACATGAAGAGCTAGTGTGTGTGTCTGTAGGATCTTTACAGAAGGTACACAGCTGTTGGTACAGCGCAGAGCTCTGCAGTAAGTCTTAGCACTGCATGATCACTCAGAAAAGAAAAGGTGCCACCAGGAGGCAAAGTGAGGCTGCAGGCCTTGACACCTGTCCACTTCCACCTAGGCTGGTAGGCAAGAAGCAGACTGTACAGTACAGCTAAGACAGTACCTAAATTAATTTCCCTGAATTCCTCCATGACGAGATGCAAAAACCAGGCTGAGTGCTTGCTGTGGACCTGCCTGCCTTGGACACAAATGCATCATGGCTTCAGTGAGAGAGGAGAGGCAGACAGATTTGCAACTCACAGATAGGCCTCCCCTCCCCATCCACCTCAGAACCAGACAGGAAGGGAGTCTTTTTGCCTAATCTGCTGTCTGGCAGTGGGACACAGGAGTTACCATCCTGGAGTGGATCCAGTCACCTGTCAGTGAGAGCACCTGGCAAGACACACAAGAGAAGTGAGTTTAGGGAACAATTTTATGGATAAATGATGAAACAGCCTGCCCTGAAGGGGAGTTTCTTTCTGTTCTCAGCCAGTGAGAAGTTGGCTGGTGCCCTGAAGTAGGAGGGTTCACATCCTTTGCCATATCTGAGCCTTGCTAATGTGATTGTGCCTGTTCTCATTACTCAGCTAAACGCCTGATGCTGCTCTATGCCTGGCCTCTTGTGCAAATGAGTTCCACAGGTTAATTATGCATTGTCCACTAGAAGAACCAGATGGTGGAGGATCAGGCGTACATCTGCTCTCCGGTCTGACCTCAGCATGCCCCTGCTCCAGGGAAGGAGGGACGCAAACTTCCTTGTATGGGCTACTCCCACATAGCTGGTTCAGTGACCTGTGTGCAAAAGGAGTACATGAGAAGCCTCTTCCCTGATGCCTACCAGGCTAGATCGCTGCTTGCCAGGGAGTTCCAGTGGGCATTTCATTGTATCACTCATTGTGGGAGTTTCTGCTTCTATGGGAGGGTCAAAATGGTAAAAGAGGGGTTTTCTTGATGCAAGGGACCTGATCACCTCTGCTTTCATCTTGCCCCCAGGGTGGAAGATCGCCGTGATGATAAGCAGCACAAGATGCACCGCTATGCAGCAGCGTTTACCACCCAGGTCACAGAAGACTTTGACAAGTACTCCGAGAACAAAACAGAGCTGGAGTACAGCGGGCACATAAAAGGTTCTTACATGAAGAAGCTGTCCCACTGCACGCCCTCAGTGTCCCCAGCTCTATCCCAGAGGAGCTCTAACCGTGGTTGGGAGATCCTGAGGCACAGCACCTTCGGCAAGCTGCAGGGTCATGTCAATCTGGCCATGGAGAAGGAAGACGAAGAGGAGGAGGTCTACCATGTCTGAGCAACTGCTCTCCTTCTACTTTAGGACGAGCAATCCCTCTCCTTGCTAGTGGAGGAGGCTGATGTGGTCCCATCTGGGCTGCCCATTCCATAGCAGCTCTCCCTTTTGTGGGGTACTGGTGGCTCCATGCCTGGAGTGACACTCAGAAATGGGTTGCATTTCCCACTGCATAAATGTAGATGTGTGCATGGAGAAATAATCCCCTGATGTATGACCCAGTGTGTTCCCCCCAGCCTGGAGGAGGTCAGTGGGATCCAAACTGAATTGCTAACTCTCTCTGCACCATGGACTGAGGGCGGTGGAAGGGGTGGAGATGGAGTTATACCATCCTGCCTCACCCTTACTAATATGTTCACTAGTGCATATATGCACCACCACCCTCTCATGAAGGCTGTGAAAGATGTATCTTCTGCTACAGTTGTGCCAGTGACTGGAGCTTCTCCTCATGCAATGGAGCCTGTTTTTATGAAGCAACAGGTGCTGGCTCACCCTCAGGCCATCCATGCTTAGCTGTTAAGCATACTGCATGTAAGCCTGGGGCTGTGTGCTGAGCACCAAGTGACACTGTGGAGGGTGATGGGCAGAGACTTTCCAGGTGTGGACTTTCTGACCCCAGGCAGAAGGCTTTTTATTTTCATGCTGGTTTTGTGCTGAGGTACATTTCTGGTCCACCCAGACTTTTT